TCAAATAAGGGCTTCATTTTCTTAATTTTACTGAAGAACAGTAGTACAAATTTTTCTTTCATCTACTTAGATATCAGAAGTAATGTTTGGAACCAGGTTAAAGTGTGGGCTTCCTTCATAATAGTATGCAGTCAGCAAGTCAGCAATTTAAATGGGAAAAGGTATGTAATAATACAATCAACACCAGCCAGGCATATACCAACCAATCGGATAAGGGATTCATTCAAATGTCATTTTCTTCATCTCCCTAACTCACATAATTGTTGATTCATTGAATTATTGCCAGTCCTTACAGTTCAGTTGCCTCGTACTACATTGTGTAGGTACTATAATATATTAGAAAATTCAATAGCATATGGGAAAACGAGAAATGATAGAGATGAACCTCTCTCATCAAGTTCAACAACATATGGCACTTGCTTCAGCTCTTTAAAGACAGCCTTTGCCCGTCTACAATATCTACAAGAAATTAAGTTCATGAAAGGAAAACTGTCAAAATTATGAATATTAATAAGTAAAAAATAAAATGAATTCAAAAATTATTGGGGCATCTTAAGCTTTTAGAGCATTCTTAGAAGTTGTCAAAAATTGAAGTGAAATCAGCTTAAGAGATGGAACTACAACGAATGAATCAAATTGATCGAAAACAGCCTATACGAGCTAAGTTTAGCCCCAACTTTTGGAGCTTCCCACAAAATGTTACTGGCATTTCTTCGCTAACTTCGGCTCAGTGTATGAAATTTCACCGAGCACGTTAAAGTTTACAGAAAAAAACAGTAGTGTTTGTACTTTACTGCCGAATTTGGATTCCCTCAAGCATCATACAGCACATAATGGCTTTGATAGATATGCTAAATCAAAAAAGCAAAATAATGTAATAACTAGCTGATGAAGTACATAGAGTCGGCTTAAACAAGTTGGTGCATTCGACCTGTCTCTTTCTGGTCAGTACACTTGGTGTACATGAACAGGAGTAACCTTGTTAACTTCTTTAAGTTAGTTGAGTCGAAAGGTCAAATTGCCCGGTGAACGCTCGCTAGACAGCTGGTTTTCCGAATGGTACACATTTACTGAAATTTAGAAAATCTGGAAGAATAACATCTATAATTTCAAATTCAATACCATAATTACCTTTAATCCTCCTCAAGCATCATCCTCCTTACCCAACGGAATTGTGAATTCACACGATTTTTCCATATATGGGCACCCAAGCAAGTAGAACAATTAAATTAGTCATACATTTATTTCCTTATAGGCTTCTTAGTTTTGAACATATTTGTGCATTAAACAAAGTACATATTTGAATCATTCATTACCATTCACTGAAAATGGTTCAGAGGCTACAGTACTGAGAGAAAAATCAATACAGATTCAATCCGAATTTTCTGATTTCAATTCCATGTCCTAAACACAGAGTAACTATCCAACACTAAAGAATTTCAACGGATTCGTCCAAAATTAATCAAAATCCTTTTTCACAATATCTCAAAAAAGGTTCCCTCCTCCAAAACATATCTTCGAATCAATTTTTAAAACAAACAAACAAACCGTAGTACAATGTAAAGAATAGTTTCAAAAGTACAAAAAAATCAAATAAAGGGAAAAGGATCATACGGGCAGTACGATTTGGAGAAGATGACGATGGAATGAGAAGAGATGGTCTTCTTGACAAAAGCTGCAGGGGATTTGGGTTTTGCATCAACTGGAACGGAAAATGACGAGCATAAGAGGACGGTGAGAAAGAGGAATTGCATCGATGATGCGAAAATACCAGATTTCGCCATTTTTCAATGCGATCAGAATTGAATTGGCTTTTACTTTTAAGATGCTGCCTATAATTCAAGATCGGAATATAGACTATAGATCCCCTATGGATGCCAATAGCCACGGGTTGAACCTATACCGCTTGCGCCAAATAAATGGGTACGGACAGGGTCCTTCGCGTTCATTGATTCCCGATGACAGCTCACGGGATTGGTTGAGTATAATTATTAACATTTTCTTAAATAATGATGCAATTAATAATTAAAGTGATTGTTATGTTTGAATTTTTCAAGAGAGTCGCTATTTTCATCGATCTTATACACACTCCGTCCCATTTATATAAATCGATTTTATTTTTTCACACGGATTAAGAAATTTTATATAGCTTTTATTTGGTGAGAATTAAAATCAGATTTTTAGTAGAATTTTATAAAAGTTGACGAAACGTGTAGTTGAAAAATTATGAATCCCATAAAATATTTGATTAAAATTAGTTATTGACTTTGACTTGGATTAAAATTTTAATTTTAATTTTTACCAAAAAAGGGTTCAATGTTATTGAAAATGTAATTTTTGTTAATAACTTTCCTAATTTAGCCTTGTATAATTATTAACCACTAGTAGCAAATTATTGTTGAAAATATGAAAGAAATTGAATGATTTAATTTTCAATAAGTAGGTATCTTTAAATTTGTACAATTTCAAGATTAAATAGGAAAATTTGTTTATAAATACACAAATTGAATAAGGGTATATTAGTAAAAGAACAAAATAATATATTCTCAATAAAGAAACATATTACATAATTGGAACTAAAAAAAAAAAAAAAAAAAGGAAGTCAACCTATATATAAATGGGACGGAAGCAGTATGTCCTATTCGTTTTAATATTTCGTAAATTTTTCATTTACTAATATTTATCTTCATTAAAAATTTTGGATCTTTTATGTTCTTTTAGACTTTATATTTAACTAACCCTAATCTAAAATCAAAACAAGCAATAGTTATGGAGTTTTGGAAGAAATACAACATACACAATTTCAACCGGAGAATATGATTACTTATCTTTCCAAAATTGTAATTAGGATAGATTTAGACAGAGAGATAGATATGTAAAAGCTGTGAATATATAGTTTTGGAATATAAATATGGTAATTTTTTAAAATTTTAAAACTTTAATAATATGGATGAATTTAGGGTGAGATATGTAATAATGACGGAAAAAAATGCTAAATAGTGGCTCCCTTCTTTTATTGCACTAATAATCTATCAAAAATAAGAATTTTATGGGTCGAGGTAAGTCGAATTATTAAAGGTAAAAGATAGATGGGAGAGGGAGTAGTTTTTACTTTCTTCGAAGTGTTTGATTACATTTATTTTCAATGAAAAATATCAGTTTTCCACCTAAATTTCTACTCGAAGTGTTTGATTGCTAATTTTTTCTATGGACAACATTTTCCAACTTTTGAAAATATGCCTAATTTTCCTTGTTTTTAAGAAAAACATTTTCCTTGGGTAGGGGTGATTTTTATTTTCCACAAAAGATGAAAAACATTTTCTTTTCTATGTGATATTTTCCATGTCAATCAAACACACTCTAAATTTTAATATCGATTTATACGAAGTAATCTACTGTATTCTACTCTTTAATTTTTTTTTGGTTTATGGTCAATAAAATCCTTATATAACATTGTTAATATTTTGTAATTAATATTATAAAGATCATATGCATGTGATAGAAATTGAAATGTAAAATGGAAATTGTTTAATAGCTCAATAGCCGTCTCTCTTCTTAAACTCTATCATATTTATTGCAATTACTTCAACTTGATACACTTATGAGATTCCACAGATGGTATTTGAGCATAAATAATATGATTAATGTGTTAGAAATCAGAAAATATGAGAATTACCTGAAATTCTTTGAAGGGAAGGATACTATAATTTGATTGATTTTTAATGGTTTTTTGATAGTTAATTTAATTCTTGAGGACGTGCACATTTAAGATCCATGAATTGGAAATGTGATACTATGAATTGGGGTGCAATATGACACTTCTTGATCATCGATTTCAAGTCGGAAGGAATTAGAAATTTTTATTCTCGCAGTGTCAGACCCATATCCAATTTTCGAATCCAAAAAATTGGTTATGGCAAAATTTGAGAATAACGTGTAAATATAATTTAGTTGTATAATTGACTATAAAATATTTAAGTTCATATCCCCAATAAATTCTTTCATCTAACTATTTCGATATTTTAAAATGTTTACTTGCAAAAAGGCAATGAAAAACTTTAAAATGTGAAAAATTGTTGGTGAGCGAATTCGATGAAACATTTTTCCTTAAAATGCACATCCTCTGTATTGAAGTTCATTAAACTTTATACATTGAAATATTGGTACAACAATACTATGTTCATATCATTTATTTGAAGTTCATATTGTCATTAATTAACCATATAAATTGTAATAAGCAAGGAATAAATGTTGGTAGTAGTTATTGGAAGAATTCATTTTTGCAATTACAATTATTACAAATCAAGAAGAAGCCCTCAAGTGGGAAGCCAATGATATTGCAATGACTAATTGCCCAAAATAAGGACAAACGCCAGAGATATTCCCTCTCCATTTTCAAAATCGTACAAATAAATATTTTGTGCCTTTGAAACATTGCTACACGATTGCATTGCATAGATATTTTTCAGCTATCTTTATTTGTTGAATACTCGAATGTCCAAGTCTTTTATTACAATTAAGCTTTAAAAGAAAGAGTCAAATTATATCTCGACAAAACTCATTTCATACTCAATGTTGAACCAAGGATTATATTCCACGAACTTCACCCTCTGCTTTCGAGGCATACATGATATGCGAGGGGAACAAAAGCACAAAAGGCTCGCACAAATTATAAGCGAGTTATTCCTCAGTCCAGATTGGCTAAAAATCGTTGTTAAGATGTACGTGGACAAGTGTTCAAAGTGACTTCAAAGCTAATGAATGCAAGATATGTAAACTAATAAATAAAAGGTGATATTATAATAGAATCAATCACAAGCTAGCCAATAAGAGGCCGTCATCCATCAAATTTCTCTAACTGATCGAATTGCCCCAAAGTCATGAGAGAAATCTATATATACTATCACCTAAGAGAAGGAAACCATGCAAAATTCAAACATTTTTCTCCCAAATAGCCATTTCGCATTTTACTCTGGTTTAAGCATCAAAATCAACAAGTTTAGGAAGCAAAAATCATGATTAGATTAGGAGAATTCGTTGATATAATTTTTATCGTCAACACTCAACTCAGAATACAAGTGTATAGAATTATTTATAACATAAAAGTTCAATATTTTAAAGATGTCAAATAAAATTGTTTTTGACTTGTTCAAATCATTCATCATTTTCTAAAAATGAAAATAAGGACCTCCAAAATGTTTGTCAACACAGTTATACTCTATTTGACATGATTTTTGTGCTTCCTATAGAAAAGTTTATAGAGAAAGTTATTTTAATTTTTGTTTGAAAACTAATTTTTATAAGAACTTATTTTGAAAGTACTTCTAGAGCAAATCACAGTGGATCAATTTCTTCTAAAAGTTCTTTTCCAGTGGATCAATTTCTTCTAGAAGTTCTTTTACTTAGAAGAATCACTTCTGTAAAATTAGTCAAATAAGTCCAAAAACTTTCGAGTCTCAAAATCCCCTTTCGACTTCTTGGAAGTCATGTCAAACAACCCTTGGTATAGGTGGGAAACTAATTTATGGTTAAAGCAGGGAACATCAAACATATGTCCCTCCCATATTATATCACACAGTGCTTGGTTTAAGCTGTGGTTGAGGATTGGATCCCCTCTCATTACTTATCATCCTCTTCTGTGCTGTGCTGACAGAATTGAATGCAGAACTATATGCAAATTTTAATTTTCAAGATATACACATACCTTACACATACGGACATAAAACCTTATTTTCTGATTCACAGAAGTGAAATTTGTGCCTTTTAATAAAAGAAAAAGCTTATCTACTCCATCCATCCATATCATCTCCAAACTTATACCCAATGCTATCATCTAGATTTTGCATTTTCTCCCTGAAAAATCCTTAAATAAGTCCATACTTTTTCACATCAAGAGCCTAAGATGGACAGGTTAAATTTCTTGCTGTTCTTCTTCACTCTAATTCTCCCCATTTTTGACTATTATTCTTCATCTACACTCGCATTAGTTACACCAGACGATGAAAATGGAAACAATATTGGCAAGAATACTAGATTAACAAATCCTCCACCTCCATCTCAACCTCCGCCGCCCTTGCCGCCATCTTCCGAATCAAGAGCTCCGCCGTTCAGTCCTGGAGTGGCCGCAATTGTTGGAGTTCTCACAACCATTTTCTCCATCATTTTTCTGTTGCTTCTATACGTGAAGCACTGTAAAAGGCGTATGCATGTCAATAACTCCAGAGGGTACCCTCAATCAGCAATGGCAGCAAGGAAAAATTCAGGAATCGACCAGAAAGTGATTGCATCATTACCTATATTCCGGTTTGAATCCTTGAGGGGCCAGAAGGATGGTCTGGAATGTGCAGTTTGCCTCAATAGATTCGAACACGCTGAATTTCTCAGATTATTGCCAAAATGTAAGCATGCTTTCCATGTGGAATGTGTGGATACTTGGCTTGATGCTCATTCTACTTGCCCACTCTGTCGTTACCAGGTCGACCCTGAAGACATTCTTCTCGTTGATTATGAGAATAAATCTCTGTATAATCACGATCAGTCTAACGAAAAATCAAGCTGTGCCCTACTGTCTCCTACCCAGAAGGGGAAGAAATTTGTTAATCCGAAAGATTCAGGTCGGCATTCATCGGCCGGCGAAAGAGGAAAGTCATTAGAAATTGTACTCGAAAATCCCGGCAAGGATTCCGGCAGAAGATCACTGGATAGCTGGAAAACTGGAAGTAAAAACGGGTTCAGAAAAGACGGCGCGGCAGAGAAGTCCAGGCAGGAATTGGGCAGCAAATCAGTTGATAGTTCAAAATCCAGGAGGACATTAGGTAATGAATCCCGAAAAGACAGGCAGCTGTTGGAACAGCAGAAGCAGGTTGAAAAGCATCGACTGGACCACAGGATCATAATTTCCAGGGAGACACCGGAAATCAGCAGCAATCACCACCATGATCACCGCTGGAGCGACGTGCTGCCAACAGATTTACTCTACTTACGATCAGAAATGATTCTGGGTGAAAGCCTCTGGTTTTCAGGGCAGTGGCGGAGCGTCGGAGATGAAAACGACAGGGCAAAGGGGAGTGGAGGAGTAATGAAAGCAAGAAGCGTGTCTGAAATCACAGGAATGAGTAGGTACAGAAGTAATGGGAGGCAGGAGGAGGGACAGAGACATGAGGGGGTTGTAAAGAGGTGGTTGGCTTGGATTTCTCAATCACAACAGCAGAAAATGACAACTGCACAGGCAGCAAGGCCTTCTTTTTCTTCTTCTTCTTCTACCTCCATTGTTGTTTAGCTTAGATTAGCTGTATTATTCAGTATCAATAGCCTTTTTTCGAATATATACATTGTATAAAAATCCATCGCAGAAGATGATCTATTGGTACTTGGGAATTGGCACTTTTCAAGTTTTCAAAAATATACTTATCCAAATGCACAGATATACAGGTTTCAAGATTCCAATATGCAATATTATAATGTAGGAACCAATTATTTAACCGAACTATACATAATAATATTTGAGATTTTAACATTTTTTCTAGACTGCTCAACTTAGACCATCAATTGCAATCCGATTCTTCATGCCCAACATGCCGCAAGGGTGACATCTTACCAAAAAGTCCAAGCTATTAAAGAGACGACACATTTATTCATTTAAAATTTGTCTCCAACAAAGGGAATACATGCACATATTTCAACATACTAATATACTCTAATGAGTATACAAAAGATAAGCAAAAACCCAGGCTAAGGATATAGTTAGTTTGGAATATTTATATTGAAACTAGACGGATCTCATTAATAAAGCTCGTTTAGGCATAAGTAGGGTCGAGGGAAAGCGAAGACAACTTCACCCTGCTAAAAGGCAGTGAACTTTAGTGCAGCACTAAGCACTAAGATGCATAAAAATGGCAGAAACTTTGGATAACAAAGCACATAGATATAAATAATATAAATTGGAAAAGGACAAAAACCCCCCCTGCAAGTTGCGAACTTGCATTTGGTAGTGCCTGGACTTTTATCTGACCTTCACCAGATCACAATAGCATGCCAATCAGAGATGAAACAGCAATTCTTATCATCTCTGTACACTTTGCAAGCACATTTACTGCTTCAATGTCAACAATCAACTAAACTTATACCAGATGAGTTTAAAGTAAGGTATTTAATACATTTATCAAATATTACGTTAATTTTATTCTACGTCTCCCTCGTCTAATTTCTTCTTCATGTAACTTAGAATTCATAACATTTACGAAGCCATTTTCTCCAGTCCACCCTAAACTTATGCATTAAGTTCAAGTTCTTGTTAATTAGTGAACTAAATATCCGAAACAATCATTCAAATATATAAACATACAACTTTATTTTCCTTTTCCTCCAATGTCCACACAAATATCAGTATCATATCAGTATACTCGTAACTCTCACATTTCCAATAACAATACAATACAAGTTCTAGAAAGTGGCAATGCCAATATGAAACTCTCTTTAGAATAAAAAACCACATCTTGATTCCGGATGTGCCAACTGATGAAATCATTATAATCTGTTCCAGGCTTTCTAATAAAGCAGCTATCAACCAAATCAAATCGTTTAGTCATTTTTTGTCCATTGTAACACCGACAACGAGGTTGCTTACCTGGAAATTTTGAGATAATTGTCTCAGATTTATTCTTCTTCAGCATGAAGAACAAGGAAAACCCCAGGGTGGGGGTGGGGGGGGAAAAAGGAAGGAAAATTAACAACTAAAAATGGGGGGGGGGGGGGGGGGGCAAAAGTAAGGAAAATTACCAATTTGCCACTCTTGTCAACTGACATGGGATTTTCAACGACAACAGTTTGGCTCTGAGAATTGGGTAATGCCTGCAGTAGACAACAAATAATGTTAAAAATATGATAAATAACTTTCCCATGTAATGTGTTTCGGAATAGTGAACATCATGTCAGGAACTAACTGCTGAGCTAGAGGGCATTGATGCTGAAGTGGGTGCTCCATTTGGGCGATGCATGGGAATGGGGACCCTAGCATTACCCATCTGCAAATATAAAGCAATGAGATAAAAGCATGATAGTAGAGATCAATAACACGATGGTATAGTGTTAAGACCTCTGTTGTACGAGAAATTTGAGTTGTGACTTCCTAGATGTTTAAATCCAGAGCACATGATATTCTAAGGTTTGATCATAATCGAGCATATGCATCCAAAAAAGATTCAAAGAGATATATCAATATACTTACATTGACATTTGTGACATACTGACAAACAGCGCATTTGACAGATGGAGCACCATATGGGTACATCAGGGTTGTGCGGCAATTCCCACAATTGACATGAGCAATGTTGGGTGCTAGTCAGACAGCGAAAATCCAAAATAAGAAAATTGAAACCCAACGAATCTAAATTTAAAAAAAAAAAAAGAAGGAAAAAGAAGGAAAAAAAAAAGAAAGAAAGAAAATAGAATGGTACTGCTGTACATTTTTAGTGTGCAGTACTAGAAATTTGGGGGAACCATGTAATTTTGGGGGAACCATGTAAAAGATTTATTTTTTCTGTTTACATTTAGTTCACTGTCATGTAGTGCACACATGATATTTTTATACAGGGAGAATAGAAATAGTAGTGAAATTCACAGGGCAAAAATCCATGCTCATTAGTCAAACAGGCTTAGGATTATGTTGATGGCAACAGTTCAAACATCATTCTGAAGCACTGGCAGAAACTTCATATGATTCAATGTATTAAACCTTGCAATAAAGAAGAAGAAAATGTAAAAAGCCAAAATATTTGCAACATAGAAAAACAATTTTTTAGAAGTTGTGGATGCATAATAAATATACATGCACACGTGTGCATATACATATATAAACACTTGTCTAGACCCATTCATTGAAATACCCTTGTGGAATATCAGTAGATGACCACATGTGCCACTTAGACTGCATCAGTAATTATTGGGTTTAATTGGTCAACGATGGTTTATGGTATACTCAAAACAGAAATGACAGTGGAATCACCACCTGCTTGACTATGCAGTACTAATTTTCCTCTCAAGTCAACGATCCAACCCATAAAAAAGGAATGTACTCATCCTATGTCCTGGCAATAAGATGAAAAACCTTTTTGACGAATTCATAACTCAGTGACAAGATGGATCGACAAAGCTAACCAAATAGTGGTGAAATTTGACTCAGACAATTTCAAATCCCTGAAAATGGCAAACCCAAAAATACGCTTTTCAGATCACTAATGACCAAGGCTCGACGCATTTATTAGAAAATGTAACTGTGAGTTTTAAGATTCAAGATAGCCATCAATTAAGTTTACCTGGAGCAAGATTCACTGTATGACAACAAGAGCATCTCACACTTGTAGCACCATGGGTATACATCAACAATGTGCGGCAACCTCCACATATCAGTTGGGACATTTCCATTACTGGGAGGAGGGAGATTTAAATCACAAAAAAAATTGGAACAGAGGTCCAATGCTCAGTCAGATCATAATAGCATAAGTGCCCAACACTATACATGTATAGTCATAATTGAACGGTTTCAAATTGCATAACTATTCGAATCACCCAAATATTATAACTTTGCCAAAATCTCAAGTTTTGTTGCTCTTAATCTCGAGATGAGCAGAAACAAGCTAGTCAACTTTATCAAATATCCAATATAAATAAATGCACGATCTAAGACACCATTTGGAAAAAATTTATAAATTGGTTTATAAATTTAGTCAAAGTCAAACTTTAATTTCAACCGCATTGTTTATAATTATATCATGATATTTTGGGGGACGACATTATTATTCCTCTTACTATTCCTATTTATAAACCATTTATATATTTGCCAAACGGAGGCTAAGCCAATTACAATAAAACACTAGAATATTTGGATAAATTGTTGACCAACCAATATGTAATTGCGTATTATTGCTCCCAAGGACCCCTTTAGCAATCCAAAAATATAGTGAACACTCGAATATATTGAGCTTGTAATTATACCTCGCAATTCAAAAGTCTCTCTATAGCTGATGAAAGTAAGGGAGCTAGTGGAGAACATTAGATGGTTCAAAAATACCTGAAAGGAACATAGGTTTGTAGATAGGTATTTGATCAAATATGATCATCTAGTTCATATAAAACCTATCACTAAAATCTCCTAGAGACCGGATCATGAGCTAATAGCGTTCGGAAAGCATGTCTACACAACGCCTAGAATTTTTTTTTATAATTAATTTCAGTAATAGGTTCATTCCCATAATATCTTGAATGAATGCAAAGAAAAAGAGTATCACGTGATCACTAGAAGTGGGAATGTACATAATTTTCATTTTCTTCCCTTTCCAATTATTGACATTTTAAAGCAATTAAATGCAAACAAATTATATGATATTCAATTAAAAAGAAAAGAATTCAACATTTTTCGATGAACACTCAAAGAAATGACAGCTTCGTTGAAATTCCGAATTCAATTTTACCTGGAGGAGGCACAGAAGTGATGGTATTACACACGGCGCAGCAGACATTGGTTGCTCCACTCGGGTACATAAGAAGGCTTCTACACCCGTTGCACACTATCTGGCTCTGCATTCCTATAATTTTTAAATTACTGCCAAAAAAAAAAAAAAAGACCCATCTGTAAAATTAACACGAAATTATAAATTATAAAGAAATCGAAGTTCCCAGAAAAATGGGAATTGTAGAGTACTGACCAAATATTACGATAGAATATAATATATCGGAATTGGATGGATTCAGTTCAACAGCGATGAAGAATCGGTTTTTGGTTGGGATTTTGAAATCGCAACCGGAATCGGGATGTATATCGGAATTCTATGTGTAAGAGGAAGGTAAATGGCTTTGGTGGGGATCTTGATTTGTATGTTTTCGAGACTCCTTAAGCAATAATCGTTGGGTGGGCCCTGCCACGCTAACCGGATTGGGAAAATTACCAAAATTGTCGAGTTTAATCTTTCATTACCCATCAAACTTTATACCATATTACAGCTTATCCACTTAACTTTTAAAATCATCTTATTATCCACTGAACTTTCATCCGTTATTCTTTGTTCTCAGTTAATGCTGACATGGAGGATGGAAATCTGAGTTGGCTGTTATCTCTTTTCAAATGTTAAATGTTACATCATATCAGCGCCACATCACATAGCCAAACATGCCTTTACCAAATTTTGACTCTTCAATGCCTTTCTTCCCATATAACACAAAACTAACGGTGGCAATGAGTTGAGCCGGCTCGGCCCATTTACTCTCATCAAAGTAACGAGTTGAGCTCATGCTTGTTCAAGCATGAGCCAAACTCTAGCTCGGCTCATGCTCAAGGGCTTAGCCCACGAGCTCATGAGGCTCGAGTTGAGTCCACAAGCTCAATTTTTTTTTTGACTTTTTTGTTCCTTTTTTTTTTTTTTTTTTTTTCTTTTTTTTTTTTTTACTAGCCCAGGCACGAGCTCGGCTCATAGGCTTATGAACCCACGAGCCGTTAGCGAGCATGCTTGCTTGGGTTGGGCTTGTCCAAATACGAGTTAAAGAACTGCTTAATTTTGTGTCAAGTTTTGCTTATTCTTGGGTGCCTTGTGATTTCTGTTTATTTTTTCTTATCCTCACGCGTCTTGTGATGTCCTCTGTTTAGCATAAAGGAGGAGGAGAAAGAAGTGATTTTTATTTTTTTTAGTTTTGACTTTAAATTATATATTTGTGACTCATTTATAATTCTTTGAAATTTTGGGATTATAATTATAATTAGTTCTTTATTTTTTTATATTCTCTTTTCTTATTGTTTTATTCAAATAGAAGGGTATATTTATCATTTCACACTTTTTAGAGAAAATTGTTAAAAATGATGATTTTCACAATGAACACATGAAATAAAGGTGAAAATGTCAAAATAAAAAGTATGGACGTTATGTATAATTGTATTTAAAGGTACAGATGTTTTGTACTAATTATCCTTCAAAGTTTTATAAAAATAAAGTATCAAACTATTTGTTAGATTAAAAATAGATAAAATAGAGTTAAAATCACTTATCATTTTTGTAATCTAATAATATATAAATTAATTAAATAAGGCAACAAATAAAAATACAATCCAAGGCTCAACACCAATTATTAAGGGCATGAAAAAGATAACCTATTAAACAGTTGATAAAATGTAAAATTTGGATAAAAAATTAATTTTTCTTGAAAATTCATATAACAATATATTAAAAAAATGGACGTAGTATTTATAATCAAATTATCTTCAATAATCTTCAAGAAGAAGATCTCGACTTTAATGAACGATCATTTTGATAACAACGAGAAATTTGAGTTCTTACAAAAGATTAAACCAAAAATACATTTTCTTATTGGGTTGCATTAAATCTATGAATTTTTGTAACGTATTTATAAATTTATTTAAATTTACACGTTGATTATCCATTAAGTTCTACTATGAAGGAAAGAAAATGTATTGAAAGTACAATTTTGGCGTGTGATAATTTTAAGGTCTAGTATCCAAATATCTAGTGCATATTTGTGCAATATACCAACAAAAAGAGAATTGGGGAAAATTGAATTCACTATTAGATTTTAAGGTAGTACCAAGAATCAAACTGGAGCCGATCGATTCTAAATGCATGATCCCAAAACCTATTCATTTGCTAAATGAATGGGAACTGAATTGACCAATCCGGTTCCATCGATTTTGGAAAAAATTGCCCACCGTTGGGAAAAGTGGAGTTGAATGAAGAAACTATCTTCTATTATTTAAAAGATGTGAGAACCACTAAAAAAATGTCTTTTGCTATAACCAAACCGGCAGCTACGTAAGCATCCGACTAAGGCAAGGAAAACTTAGTACATACTTCTTCCAAGTCGCCTCATCGGAAGGCGATGCTCATTAACCTTCATCGTGACCTTTCGTGACTCTATGAAGACTCAGCAGATGTAACAGAGCTCAATGAAATAATGATGGGCTAGACATGAAGCGGTGGGCATATGGGGATTTTTGAATAATTTATTAGAGCCCAAAACAAATGGACACTCTTACTCACTAATATCAAGAGAGAATCCATGAATTGGTGTCCGGGAGGCCTGTAATTGATCTCCTACCTCAAGTCGATAGGATAAAAAATTCTTACTATTGGTGTGGTAAGCGAACCTTAATTATGCTTATCAACATTCTAGAAAACCATAATTAAAGTTTTCTTACCAAATCAGTTAAAAATTTTTTGGAAAAGTCTACATGTACATAATTATTTCATATAATGTTGTCCATAGTGTGATGTGACAATCATTTGATTGTTGATGTGAAAGTGTGAGATTTGAATTAAATGTTGGATTCAGTGCCACATGTAATTATGGACACAATTATGTACATGTAGCACTTTTCAAAAAATTTATCCTACCCACCGAAGACAGAAAATCAGACCTGTTGGGAGGCAGGGACGGAGCCAGCACCTGGCGAGCTGGCGCGGCCGCCTGTGCTGGCTTCGATAAGAAAAATGAATTTACATATAAATCAAGTATAAAAAATAAATATATTTAACTTTACCATGTTTACAACAACGCAATTGTGGCTTAAATGGTAGATTCCTTGTTTTGCAAATGAGAGGCATGGAGTTCAATTCCCCTCACCCCCCACTTTGTCTATTAGAATTTTTAAATAATTAAATAACTCTATAAAATTAGTGCTTACTTCCCTAGATAGAAATGCTATAGTTCATGAGGTAATGTGTTAGCTTTGTACTTGAGAGGTACATAGTTCAATTCCCCTAACCTCCAGTTTTTCTTTTGATTTTTAACATAATAAAATAATAATTAAACCATTTTATATTATTAGTTTTTGTTTCTAAAATAATTTCTTTAAGAAATTTGTCAACTCAAATTTTTATTTCATAGTATATATTTTATTAGGTCATTTTTTATCAATTTATTTTGTGAAATTCAAATTTGGATAATTGAAGTACTGATTTTTATTCTTTTAAAAGTTCGAAAAATATTTTTCTTTTTGGGGGTAAAAAAATAGCTCTAAAAATCACAGTTTAAAAAATTTATTGATTTAAATTATTGCTTTAAAATATATATTTTATTGTTAGATTTTATCAATTTAAAATTCAAATTTGAACAATTTTAAATACTGATCTTTACTTTTTTAAGTGTTTGAAAAATACTTTTCTTTTTGGTGGTAAAAAAATATATCTAAAATTCAACATTTTTAAAATTTTGGATTGATTTCGTCTAAACTCAATACTTGTATTTATCATTTAATCACTCTTTACGTATTAACTTCATCTTATCTTGTTTAAGTTTATAAAATTTGAAACTTGATTGTACGTATATGATTCAAAAAATGTATTTTTATTCCTTATTATTTTGGCTTGTATAGAATTATATTTTCATATGTATATAACTTTTTTATACTTTAGTGTATTTATATATTGATTGAAGTTGCTTTTAATATAAATTAATTAAATATTAATAAACAATCTTACCATATTGGACGATCGCTCAATGGCCGCTCGACGCTTCACCCTAGCT